TCCAAACACCAGGCCTATTGCCAGAATCTATTTCTGGATTTACAGGCTATGATTATGTAGAAAGAAGTTTTGACATCAATGAGTCCAATGAAAATGAGTTAGAAAGGGATGCCCCCATACCAGTCATATCAACTGACCAAAAGGATGCCCCCATACCAGTCATGCCAACTGACCAAAAGGTATACACAGAACCCAGCGCTGCACCTATTGATGGAGAACCTGTAGTCATACCACCGGACGGAATGATGTTCTTCTCATCCATTGAGAGTCTTATGGACCAAAAGAAAGGTTTGTTATTATTATCATTATTCAAAATATACAGTTATATCAAAACTTATATCCATATATTAACTTTATATTGATATTTAAACAAGGAATAAAATTATAAAAATGCTCAACATTTATTTATTTTGATTCTTTAAATTTTTTGAATCTTTAAAAAACTATTTTAGTTCCCTTCATTAAAATAATTATTTTAATAAATTCATTTAATTGTATTTTATTTTAGTTGTGGACAATAAGGGTCCGCTAACAAAAGCCGACTGTTCTCTACCACCAGAAGAAGGTCTTTGCAGAGCACTGTTCCCTAAATGGCATTACAGTCCATCTGATAAGACATGTAAATCGTTTGATTACGGAGGATGTGGTGGTAATCGCAATAAGTTTGAGACTATAGAGGAATGTCTTGATGCGTGCAGTCAATTATGAATATATTGTGTAAAATTGTGTCTCAATTTTGCATTAATAATCAGATCATTAAAATTATTATTAATTTATTGTGTATAGTAAAGGCATTAACTGAGATCTTAAAATTTTAACTACAATAAAATTTTATAAGTTAATAATTAACTGTTAATTGTAATAAATGATAACAAAAGTAAAATTAATTAAAATTAAGTAAAACAGTTTAGCTGTTTGTTTGGGTTATTACAATTTTATCAATAGCATTTCTTTAATAACTTTTATTTTACTATTTGTTGTATTAAACAAATGATTTTAGAACTCTATAAGGAAAGGATTATTCTTAGTCTTATCAGATCCATGTCTATTATGTTTAGAAGTCCGCAGATTTTTATTTAAAGCCATAATTTCATTGATTTCATCGTCAGTTAACGTGAAGTGAAATACATTTATATTCGACTGAATTCGCTCTTTTGTGGCACTCTTTGGGATGACACTCAGTCCCCTCTGGGTCTGCCATCGTATACATACAGCCCCTTCGCATACTTTATATTTTTTGGCCAACTTTTTAATGACCGGATCCTCTAACGGAGACACATCTATACCATTGCCAACTCTGGCGAGCGGAGAGTATGAAGTCATCGCTATATTCCGTTGTTTACAGAACTGAAACAGTTTTTCATTACTTAGGAATGGATGCGATTCCACTTGATTTAGCACCGGAATGGTCGATGTCTTCTGTATTATATCTTCCAATTGCTGGGAATTGAAGTTTGAGACACCGATTGAACGAACCAGTCCTTCAGTCACAACAGTTGTGAATGAGTGAGTGAGTGAGTGAGTGAGTGAGTGAGTGAGAGAGAGAGAGAGAGAGAGAGAGAGTCTATTAATTACCACTTTTCTTGATGTCTTCAAATTCTTTCCACACGTCGACCAAATCGATGGTCTCATCCATAATGATCTGTCCCTTGGAGTCGAGCGGATATTCGTCGGCGTCCTGTTGTTTGTAAGGCGTCGGCCAATGAATGAGCAATAGATCCAAATAATTCAAACCAAGCCTTTGAATACTTCGCTTAGCACTAAGAGTAGGCCTACCCTTTCCCATCCAAGTGCACCACACTTTTGACACAACAAATAGTTCTTCGCGTTTGACTTTGCCTTCACTTATGGCCGCTTTGATGGCTTTTCCCAAATACTTCGCTTAGCACTGAGAGTAGGCCTACCCTTTCCCATCCAAGTGCACCACACTTTTGACACAACAAATAGTTCTTCGCGTTTGACTTTGCCTTCACTTATGGCCGCTTTGATGGCTTTTCCCACCTGTTCTTCGTTGCCATAAATGTCTGCGCAATCGAAGTGACGATAACCGCAATCAATGGCCGATGCAATCACTTCACAGATATTATCCGCTTTAAAAGTACCCAAACCTATGATAGGCATCACATTCCCATCATTTAACTTCAGATTTGGTATTTTTGGCTCCATTCCCATAAAAGTATGCCTCAAAAGTTTTGAGTTAAAACACAACAGACTTTCACTTGATTTGAATTTTTAATTCTGGTGAACCATAAATAAATTTAATTGATTTTCATATTTGCATATTATGACTCATAAAATACCTAAATCATAGATAACATTACCTACAGAGGTAACATTCAAATACCTGCAATACATACAGTAATAGATAGTGAATGGCAAATCTAACAAAAAAGAAAATCTCAAAAGTGTACCGTATTTTTGTTCAATATTTTCCAATGAATTCGCTTTTGATTTTATTTCAATTACTTAATAAGTTATTTTTATCAAACAAATGTTTAAAGCAATTTTAAATACAACATTTTTATTTTTCAATAAATAAATTTTGCATATAATCTACAGTAGACGCAGAAAATAAAAAGTGATTACTTCAATACAACAAAAATTTACTAAAATAAAAATCTCTTAATATGAGTGAAGAGAATATGAAAAGAAAAAGAATTTTAACAAAAAATAACATATTTTGGAAATCATTACTAATTTTTGAATTAAATTAGTGCCAAATGTGTCTTCAATTTTTGAATCTCTCTATCATTGAAGTGCAGATGAAGTCTGGATTTCATAAACACACTGACAGACGATATTTTGTGCATTTTGAGCACCAATTGCTTAAAATCTGCTTTATTTAACTTGATTTTATAGCTGCTGTGAATGACCAGCTCTTGAAGTGTCCGTATCTTTGAGATGCGATCCAAACAAATACCATTTATATCACCGCTCGGGTCAGTGGTGTCCAGGAGTTGAAGAGTGGGAAACACTTCGTGAATATTGTAGTAAAACTTGAAACATCTTTGCCAGAGATTGAGCTTCAAATGTGTCAACTGTGGCCACATCTGCATCGACTCAAACAGTTCCCAATCGATGACAAAAGTGGTCCATCTCTCCAACAGTAGCTTCAAATCCAAACGCTTTAATTGCGAGAAATGTTCAATTGATTTGAATATCTCGACACTGAGTTCCGATGTGTTTGTCCTCATATGAAGTGTCAATGCCTTCAATTGCGTGCACTTTGTGGCCAATTGTATGAACTGAGCGGAAAGGGAGCGCTTGACGATTGAATTGGGATCAAACACGAGACTCAATGCCTTGAGTTCTTGTAATTTCATCAAATCTTTCATGAAGTCGACGACAATGTCTTGAGAGCCCAGAGGAATGCGAAAGCTTTTGATGACAAGACTTTCCAAACACTTATTGCTATCGCAAAGGAGACCAAAATTGACAGTTTGGTCAGTCAGACAGTAGAAGCGAGTGATGACTAGTCTCTTGAGTTTACTCACAACCGATATCTCAATGTTGTTGTGAATGATGTAACCGATGGACGGAATGTTCACTTCAGACAAGTTGTGGCAGAGGTTGAGATAAGACCCGTTCACTGAGGACTTCCATGCGATTCCTGTGATCTTTGGGCCAAACGCCTCGACAAATGGTTTCTCAAATCTGATGTCAAAGTTGCAGTGAATTATGCGGATCTGTTGGCACAGCTCTTGTAGTTCAGCCAATGAAGCGTACGATTGTTTGTGAGTTCTGCTGATGTCTGATATGTCGAGACACTGGATGTGCCGCAACTTCTTCAGTACTGATGCCATAATAGTGGAGTCTAAGACCTTTCTGCCAGAAAGAGACGTTTTCTTCATCTGATTCACAAGCGTGTCATCGATGGTCACCACTTGTAGTGAGCGATAAACAAGTCGTCGGAATTGAGTGGAAACGCATTCGTGACGGAATCGGTCCTTAAATGTTTGATAAGACAGCAATAATTGGCACAAATCGTCGCCAAACCTATCAAACGAATCCTTACTATAGTTTTCACTCATATTCTCAGCGCTAAACTCTTTGCAAAACTTTGTTTATTGTCTTAATTGGTATTCAGCTGAAGAATGGATCAAATAATATACTAATAGTTTGCTTCAGAATTAACGGTTGGATTACAAATGAATAAATTGTTAGCTGATTTAAATTATTAATTTTGTTATCATTATTGAAGACATCATTAGATGTTTCATTCAAATTCTAATCACAATTAGTGCGAGACTTAAATCTATTGTTATTTAATTGAAAGTATAAAATCATTTTATCAAAATGTGTAGTACTGTAACTAAGAGTACTACTAATTAAAAATACAAATCACAAACTATTAATTCACTAATAAATTATTAGTACCCGTAATAATCTAACGGCTAATTCTTATACAAAACTGCTATAAAGCAATCAAACATTAAATTATGTGTCGATTCTTCAGTTGGAAACCAAGACAAGTGTCAAGATTGTTGTCACCAAAGATCAAGTCAATGATAATCTTCTGGTAATTTAATTTCTTTGATTAAGAAATAGACACTAATAAAGACTTTAAAATTGAGTTCAAACCTTATAGTAAGGATTTGTTTGACAGATTTGATGACAATTTGTGTCTTTTATTACTGAATTATCTCTCATTCAAAGACCGCTTCAGATATGAATGTCTTTCAAAACAAATCCAAAGAGCGATTTATACCACAGTTTTGGAGATAAAGGACAAAGACATGAGTGGTGTGCCGATGGAGACAAACATTTACGGCAAACAGTCTCTGACTTGTCATCGATCGCCACAATCGTACAGAAGTGTCCAAACATTCAACTAATTGATTGTCGATTGGGTGATGAGTCCACGAGAGACCTGTTGGAAGTGATCGACCACTTTTAAAGATTATTGTCTAGATTTGCGACAAATTCAATGCAATTTCAGTGATTTGGACCACAATTTGGCTTAATATTTATTTGGAAATTTTGGGCCAATGTTGACAAAAGTTGATTATCTGAGTGAAGAAAGTATTAATCAAGAGTTTGTCCCATGTTTTCAGTCATGAAAACGAGATATTAGTTCACGATTTGTCAGCATTTGAGTTGAGTTTGGACCAAAGTTTCGCAAATGAAATGTTTGACACTTTTGTCTCAAATAATAAATGTTTGGAAAGACTTTCGGTGCCAAACCTCAAAGTGCAAGCAATTGAACACATTTTTGCTTTCATTGCACACAAACACAAGCGAAATGAATGTCGATACCTTTAATTCAATGCCATTTATACCGCAATTAAAGCGTTTGGATTTCAGTATCGATTTAGTGAATGGCGAGGAAGTGGTCGCAGACTATCTGATGAATCGGTGGCCAAAACTAAAGCATTTGTCACTCAATTTGTATCGAATTAATTACGAACTCTTCCAACAAATTGTGACAAATCTGCCAAACCTTCGATCACTGGACATCACCTGGATCACTGGACATAACTACTTGTGCTATGAATGCTGTAGTAACTTATATAGGGTCATACAGAAAGGTTGTTTCCGGCTATAATTTCTATTTCTCTGGAATGGCTTAATATTTTCAAAAGCGGTTTGTTTTACTGAATAGCCTAATAATCCGAGAATTTTAGGCACAAAAAATAATTTTTTAATTTTAACGCTTTCTATGGAATTTCGGGACCATCTCCGGGACACCTTTTCCGGTCACTT